GAAGAAAGGAAGAGGGCAGGCGGTCACGAGCACGAAGCGAGAAGAGGGCAAATGAGTTTGTCTCCACCGCTGCGTGCTTGGGCCTAACTCATCCACCTGTAAGCTGGGCTCTCAGAGGAAGAACCACATGATGAAATATTTGTGTGTGGAGGCGTAGATGAAGCTGGCGCTGGACTGCTCGTGTTCGTCCACTCCGTCAGCTCCTCGACCGAGGGAAACTCGTACGGCGCAGGCTTCAGAGACCTGGCGTAGGTGTCCAGCAGGTTCAAGAAGGCGTCGCAGCAGCTGGCGTTCCTGATGCTGGTGAGGAGCGAACCGTAGTAGCAGTCGAGCTTGGAGTCCAGACTGCCGCCGAAGTCAGCCCGTGACGGCTCTCGACCTTAGAGGTTTTGGACGTGTTGTTCGATGCTGTCAACCTGCTGCTGCAAGTCGTCGTAGTCGCACTCGATGAGCTTCACTTGCTCGTCGAGCTCGGTCTTGAGCTCGGGAAGCAGGTTGTTGTTCTGCAGCTTGAAGGCGCTGAAGGACCGCTTCGTATCCGTGTCGGCGTACGCCTTGACCTCCAGACATTTCAGGTCGAACATGGCGCGGATCTCGTGTGGAGGCTCTTGAGCATCGTGTCGTTGAGCGTGGCGGCCACAGTGCCAAACGCATCCATCGTGACGAAGTTGGCATTCATGGTGGCCCGAATCGTGTAGGAGGCATTCTGTACCTTCGCATCGATAGTGGTAATGAGTGAGCGCTGCAGCGTGGAGATCTTCTCGTCGATCGTGTCGAGCAGGCTGTCGCTGTGCAGAGCGGCGTGCGTGAGCGTGAACTCCGGCAGCGCAGGGAGCGAGTTGTTCTTCTTGTCAGCGTTGTGCAAGACAGCGCCTTCATGCGCAGCTGCAGGACGCGGGTCAGGGTGAGCGTCGGGCGGAAGGACACCACCTCCGAGGTCATCATTGCCATGTAGATCTGCCCATGGCAAACGTGTTGTTGCTGTGGGCGCTGCGGGATGGTAGTGCTTGGCGTGGTCAGCGCGCTCGAGAACGCGCCTCGCGGACTTTTAGTCGGTCTGGTCCAGCGTGCCCAGCTTCCACGAGTGGTAGGCGGAGATCTTGCCCGACGTCGTGGTCTCGCCGCGCTTCCAGTCCAGGCAGCGGTGAAGTTCTTTGCCTCGAGCCATCGCCTTGACCGCGGTGTGGTCCTCGGCGGCGCACTCCACGAAGTGGCGACCCGGGCCGGAGTGGACAGCACGATAATGAGCGTCACGAAGGCGTCGTCGTTCTTGTTCGGCTGTAAGCGTGCGCTGATGGGCGAGCGCCTGTACGTAAGAGCGGCAACCAATCATGCCGCGTGTAGCCCACGCGCACGGTGGGGAGGAAGAACGAGCAGGTAGATGCAGTCCCACTCCAAGGTGGCAGAAGAACGCGATGCAGAGGTGCGTCAGCATCCAGCAGGCGCCATGGCGAGGAAGCCCGCTCGCAGCGGGAGCACGCGGCCAGATGGGGAGCGCGGGTCCCAGGAGCTCTTGAGCCAAAATGGCTACGTAGGAGGAGGAGGAGGAGGAGGAGGAGGAGGAGGAGGAGGAGGAGGAGGAGGAGGAGGAGGAGGAGGAGGAGGGGAGGGAGAAGGAGGAGGAGGAGGAGGAGGAGGAGGAGGAGGAGGAGGAGGAGGATGGAGGAGGGGAGGAGGATAAGGAGTAGGAGGAGGAGAGGAGGAGAAGGAGGAGGGAGGAGGAGGAGGAGGGAGGAGGAGGAGGAGGAGGAGGAGGAGGAGGAGAGGAGGAGGAGGAGGGGAGGGGGAGGAGTAGAAGGGGGGAGGGGGGATGATGATGATGATGATGATGATGATGATGATGATGATGATGATGATGATGATGATGATGATGATGATGATGATGATGATTGATGATGATGATGATGATGATGATGAGGAGGAGGAGGAGGAGGAGGAGGAGGAGGAGGAGGAGGAGGAGGAGGAGGAGGAGGAGGAGGAGGAGAGGAGAGGAGGAGGGGGAGGAGGGAGGAGGAGGGGGAGGAGGAAGATAAGGAGGAGGAGGCTGGCCCTCCGACTTTGCCACCCAGAACATGTGGCTGCACGGACAGAGCGGCCCCCCGAGAGGCCAGCCACGAACGCCCACCGCCGCCGTCTCAAGCCTGACCGGGTCGGGCGACGGGGTTCTTTGATGAGCCTGTTTTCCACCACCACCACCATAAGTTGGAGGGGGGAAGGAGGAGGAGGAGGAGGAGGAGGAGGAGGAGGGCGAGGAGGAGGAGGAGGAGGAGGAGGAGAGGGAGGAGGAGGAGGATGATGTGGTGGAAAACACGCCGATCATTCTTGGCTGTCCTTGGCAGCAGCAGCACTCCCCCATCGCGGGCCCACGCGGCTACTCCACCGGCTGGGTCTCGGCGCGGCGGACCATCATGGGCTCCTCGACCAGCAGCGCGCCCCCTCTGGTCGGCCGCATGCGAGAGCGCCTCGTGCGCCCGGCGACGAGGATCACCGCTGTCACCAACGCGAAGCCACCGCATGCTCCAGCCATGGTGACAGTGTCGCCGCCTGCAGATCCAAGGGGAGCTGTCTGGCCGACGGAGAACCTCGACAAGAGATCGGTCGGGACGCCGGGCATCATGAACGTGTCGGAGTCTTCAAATGGGGACTCTCCTGCTCTGCAAGCGGTGGCCATGTCTTCGATCTTGAAAGTGACATTGCTCACGTACTGGACGCAATCTTTGAACACTTCGTCCAGTGTAATCCCGTACCCCACATTATCCTCCAAGTCTTTTAACTCGTCGCAGCATGGAGTAAACTCTTCGACGAGAGGTGGGTCCATATCGGTAATCGCCTCAGTTAGTAAACACCCGCACTCCCTGGTGATGTTTTTGCACTCATCAGACATGTTCTTCTCCTCCGAAGAGGGTCCGTCTTCCCCACCGCACGCATTGATATGCTCCATGACCTTCTGCACACACTCGGAAACCATGGGGTCGTTGCTGGACACATTCTCCATCCTACTTTCGTATTTTGTTACAGTGCAATTCAACATCTTGATTCCGGCATTCAATGCTGGCCATAAGTTGCCCATGAACGAGAAGAAATACGCGCCGAATAGCACAAACACGCCGACGCAACAGCAACACAGCACACCAACACCGATCGCGCACGTCAGAGGCTCGCACATCACCGCTGATATTTCCCTTGGCCTGATGGACTGGCGACAGCTCGACGCAGCAATAGGAGGCCCCTCGCCAGAGGCTTGAACCAGAATGACTGCGGAACGTATTTTCTGACTCTTGGGGGAACTCGCCGGCCCCTGGGACCGTCCACAAAAAACCGCCCGGGATGAAACACCGGCCCTGTGGAAGGGGGTCCAGACCTTTGGGGGCGACGTATCTTTAAACAACGGGACACATGCATCGGAATTCCAGGTACGTCGGCTACACGCAGGAGTGACCCTGGGTAAGAGTGACCTTTGGTGCACGACTTTGTAGGGGCCGCGGGCCGCGGGGGGACCAAACCTGGGCGCGCAAGCAGCTGCTACTGCCTCGTTTTTAGCCATCTGGGGACCCATCTGTACCCGCACCAAAAGTCACTCCGGCGAACGGTCACTCTTAGGTCTTGTCGAGTACGGGAAACCGCGGGCCACCAGCTTCGGATCCGGAGTAGCTCACACGTGCCCTGAAACAGGGTCCGCCACCCCGTGGCTCACAGCTGTGATGGCGGGTACAAGAAGTCGTGGGGCTCTCGAGACTTCAAGGGCTTGGACACCCGGTTCCACGGACAATTCCTGGGCACGCTCGGGCGCTGCCCGGCGCTCCAGGGCCTCCCCGCGTGACTTCCCCGAGGCCAGCGGCCGCCAAGACGGGCCAGGAGGGTCATATAAGATGGCCTCATGACAGTCCAGGATGGCCCCGAGACGGCTCAACAGCGCTCCGAGACGGGCCAAGATGACCCCAGAGGCCTACACGGCGCCCCAAGAGAGCCCCGAGATGGCCCCTGAGAGGGCCCCGAGAGGCAACTGACATCCTTTTCGGGCTTCCGTTGGCCCAAGACAACCCGAGAGGCCGCCAATATCGCCTCAAGACGGCCCCAAGAGGGCCCAAGAGTGCCCTGAGAGGGGAACACGAGCTGGCATCTCGAGCCCTCCGACACAGGGGTGCTGCCTTTGTCGGCGACTGCCCGAGACATCGGCATCGACTCACGGATGGAACCTTTGGTCCCCAGCGAAGGGGTCGACAGCTCTGGGGGGCCCGCGAACAACAAACCAAGCTATCGGAGGTCTATGGGGGCGAGCGCGCCCGTTGTGACTTTGAGGCGCTTTCGGGCCTCGGGCCATCGACACAACGATCCAGGACGAGAACCGATCCCCCGGGAAGGGGTATCGGTAACTGCTTCCAGGGCCCGCGCATGCACATACATCAAAATACCTCGGTGGCGCGCACGAGTGAGGGTGGGCCGCCTTCTGAGAAGGCGGGGAGCTTCTGAGAGATCATAGGGGGGCTTCTTTGTGCAGGGGCCGACCGTCCTGGCCTTCCTATAGGCGTGCCTACCACGACATGCTCTTCGAACATAAAGCCGATGTATTGCAGCAGTACTGTCTCAGCCATAAGCATTCTAAGAACATCTTGTGCAATCCACAACGGTTCCAAAACTATTCTCTGGTACGCCTATAGGCAGGTCAGGACGCTTCGCCACTGCTTGATTCTTAGCGCCCCCCCAGGCTGTAAGTAGCCCTCTCAGCAGCCCTTGGGGCCCTTCTTAGAGGTCCCCCCGCCCTTCGCGACGCCCCCCCCCCGCCTTCTCAGAAGGCCGCCCCCCTCGCGTCATGCCCTCGTGCGCGCCGCCGATCCCGGGAGGCCTGCGAGCCCAGAGCCCACCTCGCGAGGCGCGCCTGGTCTGCCAGGTGTGCGACGCGCGCCGAGTGCGCCGGTTGTGCCAGTGCACGTGGCAACGCACATCGGACAACAGACCGTACCCCAGCCGTTATTTCTGCCACGTGACTGACGATCAGACATGGGTCTTACGCGAGATGCCATAGCGACTTGACGCCGCAGCTTACGCGGGCCGCCAGCGCGGCACGCTACGCTGGGAACGAGGGCGCTCATGCGCGACCTTACGCGGGCAACTTGCGCGCGAATGGCGGCACAGTCGAGCCCGTGTTCTGCGTCGCTCAACTGCCTTTGTGGCCATAGCTCGACCCGATCTCCTCGAGCCGCCGTCTCAGGGGCTCCTCGGCCCCACGTCCTGCCAATCGCGGCCGCCGGCCCGCCCACCGAGCACGAGCTCGCGATCGCAAGCGGCCCAACAGGCGGAGCCACAGAAGGTCGAGCCGACACAGTCCTTTGGAGGCAACGTGCGCAGCGCAGGAGAAGGAGGAGAAAAAGTGGCGATCCAGGGGTCGAGATCGAAGAGCAGGTTGACCTCTAGATGCTATCGAGGGTACTCGTTTGCATGCAGAGGCGATCTCGTGGTGCGGGGAGGACACCTTGGTTCCCCCTGCCGAAGAGCCGACAAACTGCGCGACAGATCCGCCAAACAGACACTGACAGTTTGGAATTGCCAGCGCATGGCCACACGGCCCGAAGAGGACAGCCCAATCCTCTCAGCACACGGCGACAAACCTCCCAGGTCGGGCCGTCATCATCTATATCAGCTCTATGCTCGACGATTGCACTGGTGACACACAACACACTACTTGAGAATTGTGCAGGCGCAATCAACGATCCATACCCATGCAGTCTTTTGACTCGGATGACGGTGAGGACAGCGCAGAATCATTGGTCGTGAGCGCGCCACCAGCTTACAGATATTGAAATATGAAGAATTGAACAAACAAGGAACGCTTCTGAACATAAACAGAGAGTCGCGCAGCCGTTTGAACAGAGCAGATGGTCGCTCGAAGCATGCCATTGAAAAAAGTTGCCTGACACGACATGGCACGTCTACGCGATGGGAAGGGAGGGTGCTGGGCTCAAGTCGAGGTGTTCTGACTCGTTCCAGCCCTCGGGGCCTTCCGCGGCGCCACGGGGCTGGGCGGAGGACTGCGCGATGGCGCCCATGGCCGCCCGAGCCGTGGGAGTCGGCTCGAGGAGCGCGGACAGATTGGCTAGCACCAGCTCGCTGCGAACGCCGCCCATGACCGCCAGTGCACGACCGTGGCTTCCCTCACCAGAGAAGAAATTCTTGATCCTTCTGGCCGTGGGCTCCAGCTCCGCATCCTCCGGCCAGCCGACCGCCTGCCTCATCGAGCCCAGGCCCCCCGCGGCCTCGAGGAGCACCACCCCGAGACTCCAGCAGTCCGCAGGCTTGGCAAAGTACGACTCGTCCAGGGCCACCTCCGGGGCGATGCACGGCAGGTCTCCGCACGGCGTGGCCAGCGGCATCGATTCTGGGCGGTGCGACGCCTGGAAGAAGTCCACCAGGCGGCAGAAAAGCGTTTCGGACTGGTCCTCCATGACAATGTGCTTCAGAGACACTTGCCCGTGCACGACATCCTGTGAGTGACAGTAGGCCAGCGCTCCTGCTATCTGCATTGTGCAGTCCACAGCATCCTTGGAATCGAGGCGGAACCCTGGCTGGTCCCAGAGGCGCTGGTGCAGATTCTGCTTGCCCCCGAATTCGAGGGCTAAGTACACCTGGGAGAAACTATGGAACATGTTATTGCAACGGATGATGTGTGGATGCCTGAGCATGTCCCTCAAGAATCGGAGTTCGCGGTAGATGCAGTGCAGGTCTGCAGCAATTACGTGGACCGACTTGTCGTAGATCTTGAGGACAACTTTCTCCGACTCGCTCCGACTGGCAAGCAGTACGTAGTTACCGCTCCTTGCGTTACCACAAAGTCGGGTCACATGATAATCACCCACCCTGTTGGCAGTTTCCACGAGGTTGCGATCGATGGGGTCGAAATTGGACATCAGAGCTTTCGGGACGTCCTCCCATAGCAGCTTGTGGTGATAGTCAAGCACACGCTGGAACTCGTCTTCATCGCGATCAATCATCGTATTTACACGCTTCGCATTCACTTTGAGCCAAGCCTGCTCTTGGTCGAGAGTCTGGAGCAGCCGATCTGAATTGTCACTGGGATCCAGCACCACAGCGTTGGCACCGAGAACCACGAGAGCGTCGTGGCGCGCCATGACCTCCTGTACGTATTCTCGGCTCAATTCACCCCAGACCTCAAGCAGCTGCAACACGAACACGCACAAGTCACCGTGGGGCTCGAGCTGTTCCAGCAACTTCTTCATCATGTACTTCTCGTACCGCGTTTCGAACGTGCATGGCACAAGCAAGCTGCCGCACTCGGACGCCAGGGACGCGATTCCCTCTGCGTCCCAATGGCCTCCAGGCGCAGAGTCGGGTGTGGCGAGCTTGCTAGGTCGCTGCGGAGAGCTCCACGGCACCAGGGTGGCGAAGGCGAAGTGCGCGGGCAGCTGCGAAGCCATACGGGAAACATAGCTCTCTATCGCTGCTTGGCTGGACGCCGACGGCAGCCGAACTTCCCTGGCTCCCATGGCACAGAACCCAGCGGTGATGCGAGGATTCGTGCTTCCCCGCGGCAGCGCAAGCACCTGGGGCCGCTGGCACCTTGAGTCAAAATGGCTACGGAGGAGGAGAAGGAGGAGGAGGAGGAGGAGGAGGAGGAGGAGGAGGAGGAGGTGGAGGATGAGGAGGAGGCGAGGAGGAGGAGGAGGAGGAAGAGGAGGAGGAGGAGGAGGAGCACGCACACACCCATTCAGCTCAATGTCCAATTGTTTGATCTCTCTAAGAGCCTGGGGGGGGTATACAACTTATATGCACCCCAGTGAACTTGCTAGCTCTATGAGCCACACGCGAACGCAGATGCAGCCGATCTGCTGCGCCTGCGCGGGGGCAAGGCCATCGAACACGACGGGCAGGACACCAAAATCAATTCGGGGGGGGGGGTGAAGCCTGTTGCTTCAGTGGATGGCTTCTCCACCGAACTCCCTCTCGCACCATCTCCAGCTCGTTATGAGCTGTGCAAGCGACAGTGGGAGAGGATATGGGGCAGTGCGCCGACCATCGCCCGTCCAGGTTTGAAACGATCGACTGTACACGGGAGGGACGGCGCGCGGAGCCTAGACCCTAATGCCCGAGAGGGCGAGGAAGGTGAGCACAACATACATGTTTATATATGTGTATATATATATATAGATCCCATGGCGCGAAAATCATCGCAATCTAATCGAGACCAACAATGAAATCTGGATCTGAACCAGCGATGCCCACACCCTAGTCTCCTCAACGGTACCGTCTGCGTGACTGATGATGCCCACGACCGCCGCCGAACCAAATAGTCGAACAACAATACATGACTTCTTAATCATGGGCCTGCGCTTCGAGGGGCCCTGCTCGTGGTAATGCTGCCGCTTGCTGCTCTGATCAACTCGCTCACGATGGTCTCCACGGGCAAGAGCTTGCCCTTCTAATGGGAGAACGTCGTTGGCATCTCGAGCGGAATGAGCTGGCCTAGAGGAAGTTCCGTCTTGCTGACGGCCGCGAGGAGGTCCGCTTCGAGATTCTCGTCGTCGGGCACGAGGGTTGACCCGTGCACGCTGTATAAAAAAGAAGGCGAGACTTCTGCGGTTAATTGGGCTGGTCGAGTGTCGGGAAGACTGCTGCTTCGTGTGCCAAAATTCCTGTGCTGTCTGGGCGTGCTATGCGCACCATTTCCGTGAGTCTGCCTGCGACGCGCTTCATCCTCGATGCTCGGTCCGACGTGTCCTTGTACTGCCAATTGTGCAAGACGGCCAGGATTACGTAGGTTCCCAGGGAGGCTGGCGAACCAAGATTGTCCTCTGGATTGGCCTTGCGTGACTTGGCGTACTCTCCGTAAGCTTTGACCACGTCCACCGCGATTTGATGCGTCCGCTCCAGGATCGCCGTGCTCATGGACTCGTGCTGGGGTAGCCCCACCCGCGCTTCCAGCTGCACTGTGAGGTTCTTCATCATATCGTCTCGGTGTCGTCCATGTCCACGTCCTCCGAGCCTCCTGTCTCCGTCCTCACCTTCCTGGCCTTGCTTGCGTCCAGCTGGGGGCTCTTGGAGCGGTCTCGCAAGAGCCAGGACTCGGCCTTCTCGCGCTGTTCGTCCTCGGTGTGCCATGAGGAGTTGGTTGCCAATCTGCCAGAAGTAACTTGCGCGTGGGGGCCCCGGTCTCGCGCAGCGCAAGGAAACGGACGTGAAAGGACGGGGGCAAATCTGGTACCAGATGCCCTTTGCATTGCCCGATCCAGAACGTCATTTCAGAGATGGTCTCGTCACTGATCGGGCAAATCATGCTCTTCGGAGAGGATGGCCGTTCTCGGGTGACTCGCAGCAGCGCGCGTTTTGGCAATCTCTGTGCTCAGGAACGCGCTAGCGCGCAAGGCGCGCGCGCTGGTAGTAATTCGTGTACGTCTTACATGTAGTTGTCCATGTCTTCCTCCTACCGTGTTCACAATTTGCTTGGTTAGAGCGCGTCTAGTAGGCCAAGATGTGCCGCGTATCGTGCCATCTGCGAGAGCTTCCGTGCAAGAGTGCTTTCCCCCGGGCTCGGCTTGCTTAACCTGGCTGGCTGTGACCTGCGTAAGACATTTGGCCCGCCATTCGTTGCAATCGGTGCGAATGAAATCCTCCCAATCCTCAAATCGAATCTTCCGTGAGTTCCCTCCGTTCTCCCACATCTCATGACCCGCCCCAATCTCTCGTGGCGCCTCCCCCCCCCCCCCCCCCCCCCCCCCCTGGAACTTTATAGCCCAAGGATGTGCAAATTCCCGAGCGCGTCCATGATCGTAGACCCCCCCGCCTAGAGCAGATGCACCAATGCAAGTGGACAAGAACTGAATGTGCTGCTCTCTATCCCGCGCAATCGCCTGCAACCGCTTTAGGCGTCGAATGCGGAGCTCCAAATACAACGGGGCAAGGCGATACTTTTTCAGCACCTCGGGGCTGGATGATATACGAACGTGCTGACGATCGTCGCTCCAAGCGGCAGTGCCTCCAATAATTGTACGGCAGTTGCGCGCGATGAGACCTTAGTGGTGCATGAGGTCGCTGCTGGTGAGCGGCTCGCACCCTTTCACGCGCGCCTCCAATCCGCTAAGAGCAGCGTTCACTAGTGGCCCCATCACCATATTGCGCTGGATCCCGAAGTTTCCAGAATACCTCCAAAACCTACCCATCGAGTGGTATCTGGCGTGTGAAGCCCTGAAGCATTTGTCTAATTCTGATGTCGATGTGAAGCTGTTTGCTTGCAGACCCCCAAGGTGCCGTGCGCGTTGTAATGTTATGCCCTTAATGTTCGTGTCGCTCTTGTGAACGGTGCGAGGTGCTGAATGTGCTCCTCCTCCCCGTAAGTGAGCGACTTTCTCATGCTTGTTGACATGTTGAGTAGCCCCGCCCCCCCCCCCCCCCCCCCCCCCCCCACCCCCCCCCCCCCCCCCCCCCCCCCCCCCCCCCCCACGCACGCGCACGCGCACACGCGCGCGCACACACGCACACACCCCTTTATGCATTGCATTGTTCTCGAGCTCGCTGCCGAGCTCACGCTTCTCAGCGAGGGGGCCCAGCATATTGCCTTCGAGGATTTTGCAGGATAAATCGTCTACGAATCCAGTCAACGCCATCTGTTGTGTTGAGCCCCCTTCGCGCGGAGGTTCGATCTCAATTGCAGCGTGCAGTCGCAAAAAGATCCGCCACCGCGATGTGCACTGGAGGGCTGAACGTGCGTGCGAAAACCAAAGTAGCCCCAACATCTCCAGGATGTACTCCTTGGCCGGGTCGCAACCAGAACGTGACAGACTCGCCCCGGAAAAGAAATGCCCCATGACGCGCGCGATCCCCAGTAACATAAAAGTCTTGATTCGCATGCAATGTTGGGGGGGTCCCGACTACCCTGTCGCGCTTGAGGCTGAAGAGTGCATTCGGCGCGTCGTGAAAGCGAGCTATGCGACTGTTCCCGGCGGCCTGTAATCTGTTGGGCGAGATAGGTTGGACTCCCGTGGCGGCCTCGCGTCGTCGCTGGCGAAGACCTTCGTGCATCCGCTCTTCTGGCTGCCAGGGGCCCCCTTGCGTCGAACGGCTGCTGCGGGAAATGCCCTGGCGCATGATGGCGATGACTCTTTCGCCGTCCGCCTCAATCTTGTCGTTGCTTTCGGGTAGTCGTGGCGCGCCATCCCGCGGGTGCTCGCCGTGGCTCTTGAATGAGAAAGAGCATGGCGCATAATAGCCCGTGAGCAACTTTCGGCGCCTGGAAGTCAATGTTGGCACCGATCCCTCTGACTGGGGATGGCCTCCGTGGATTGGCCCAGTTGGGCCTCATGATGAATCGAAGAGCCTCGACAATAATATGCCGAGACGGGTAGCTTCTCCAAAATTTCACCCTCCAAATAGTTCTGCGCATACCATTCCAGTCGTCGGTAGATAACTCAAGGGCTTCCTCGTCAGGCAACTCTTCGCGTTGTTCGCGTAATACTTCTTGCGCCGCATCGTCTGCTGTTGGTGTGGCTGAACAGCCGCCGTGAGAACTGGGGCGGAGCATGCGCGCTCGCCGCCCTGCCACGCTTGCAGTTGATGTAGGGAGTGCTGCGGTTCGCCTCTGGCGGGGGCCCCTTTTTCTCGCCCTGCTATCAATCGCGCCAATCGTTCAACAAGATTTCCAGTTTTACCTCTGGTCGCAGTTCGCATCTCCTCACGCCTTCTCTTCGCGATGGAGTCCGGGTGCATGCGATTCGGTTTTCGAATAAGAAACTGCTGGCTGATCTGCTTGAAAGAATAAGAGAGAACCTCGAACTCTGGACCGCAATCGCAAAAGGCACGAGAGTCACGCAACAACCGTCGAACGGCAAACATCTGATGAAGTGATGCCGCGTGCTGTTGCCGATCTTCCGTGTAGACAGGGTTTTCGTCGAGAACCTGCGCCAACGCCTGATTAACAATGTCCACGAATCGCCTTCTCATGTTGTCCAAACCCTTGTTGTGCTCAAGGTCATTGAACTCGTTGTATTGCGCTTGGCATAATCCTTCTACGGCGTCATGCAATTATTGTCGCTTGTGTCCCTGTTGTAGGCAGCAGAATAATGCCTCACGGTTGGGACGTGGCGCTCCTTCTGGAAATGGTCTCGCCGCAAGTTGAATTTCTACCGTCAGCTGCATGGGCCTATGATATCGAACCTCATGTGTGTCGTGTGCACGTCCAGCCGCGCATAGAACATGGCACCTCTATAGACATCCAGCGAGCTCCCCGGGAACACGCGCGTGATCGATATAGCTGTAGTTGTTGTTGCCGACGTAGCTGGGCGCTTTCATGACATGAGTGTTGACAGCCGTGAGCCCCCAGCCAAATAAGCAAGGACGTCGTTGTTGCGAAAACAGCTGTCCTTTCCCTGCCCATACTTGCCAGCCACCTTGTCCTCAAAATTGAAAGGGAGATCTCCGTTGAGATCCATGAGCGGTATCGGAATTATACGGTTGCGAGACATCTCCTCCAAGACGGTAGGTAACCATGCAATCATTTGTCTGCATGCCTCCTCGTACGTCATCCGCAGCTGGCTGTTCGTCTGCTTCGGTGGTATAGTCCAATGAGCCCAATGCACCCGGATCTGGTCTGG